ATCCATATTTTTCGGGGTTTTAAACATTCAACATTCGTGTCAAGGAACGACTTTGCCACCTCTGGCTGGTGGCAAAGATGGGTAACTTCTTATCCGAACATCCCAACGTTGATTGGGGAGGTAAAAACCATTGTTTTCATCTGTTTCCTGTATATAATTATAGTGGTTTTCATTTATAGTGTGTATCTGGATATGAAAACCATTGTACTCGTATCTAGATTTTGCAACTTTATTCTGCACGCCAGGTCAACCGTGCAGACGGTGCATCCAACGCCCAAGTCCAGTCAGACGCAGGGTGAACAATGCACGTGCTGTGCAGTGGTTCTGCGTGACACACTAATGTAGCCAAAGATAGATGCTGTGGCATAGCAGTCTTAAGGCATGGCAGTTGTTTGGCTGCTGCAAAACGGTGAATTATGTTCAAAATTGTTAAAGGTTTTTACTATGCATTTTTTTCCAATCTTCACAATTTTCAGAATTCAAGGCTGTCTCAGATGCTTTGGACCATCTTCCTGTTTCAAAACCCAACGGGTGAAAGCAGTACCTCTCCCCTCGGTTCAGCCAGAATCAATACTTGACGGACCAATTTCGTACCTTGTTTGATTTTGGAGATGTGTATTGGCTACCTATTGATGTTGGTTGGTTCCTGCATTCGTCACTCACTTCTATAGCCAAAACATGGGAGCCCTATTTGTAGTGTTTGAACGTTTTTGATGTGTTACCCCCGCGAAGCCTTTTCTGGCTGGTGGTTTCAAATATGTTTTATGTCCGTAGCCACATTGGCTCAAGGCCCAAGGAGACACAGACGTTTATGCTTCGGTCGAAACCACCAGCCACCAGCCAGACCCATGAGAACCCCTGTAATCGCTACATGTTTGTTTGTCACCGCATTGGTTCAAACCCGGACACCCACATATATAGACTTTAATATATATATATACATATCCGGCAACTACATTTAAATATGTGGAGGGCGGGCCAGGCCACAAGGCCCCGGAGGTAGTATGAAAGACTAGTTCTATCCGTAGATTTAAATGGCCGGGCTGGCCAAGGAAAACCTTCCCGGAGGTAGTCTGGATGTCTAAAATATAATTTTGTATATTTCAAAATCTGTACATTTAGATGTAGTTACCGTATATGAGTATATATAAAAATATAATTCATTTTAATATATTTTAATCAATTCTAGATAATCCATAGAAGCTCTATTTAAACCTTGTTAAATCTGTTAAATTTTGCGGCTTGGAGATGTCCGACCGGCAGCACCGCTCGCAGGCTGCCATACAAGAGCCGAGGACGGGTCGCTGGTGGAAAGCATCACTTCCGAAACCATCTTGAATTAGTTAAAATGTCCTGCAATCATTTCAACTATGACCTTAAAAACTTAAATCATCTTGGATATTCGAATACGTTCTTAAATCAGGATGCGGACATCCACGGAGACCTTTGATATCCTTTGATCATCCAGTGTGAAAGATCGGATCAACGTTTGATGGTGCCTGTGGTGCCAACATCATGGCTGTATCTCAGTAGATACATGTGACACCCACTGGCTTGCAGAACGGTGGAAAGTTCGACAGACACTAGGTGTCACTGGGTCAAGTCCTTTCCATGAAACCTGCAGCCGCAAGAAGCTACAGGACCTTGGAACTAGACATGTGAAATTCATGGGATGGTCTCTTGCGCCGGACCAACGAGCTACAAAGTTCCAGAAGTTGTTTGCGAATGGCAACTAAAAACTGCATTCACTGGGATGATCACCTACGACGTACAAGAAATTTCTCGGGCGACCCCCCCTGTAGCATACATCGCTTGAATCGTTAAACTGGAAACTTGGACTGCCATTCAAAAAGATTGAAAAGGACCCTGCAAAGACCGATGTCAACGACAATTGCCAGTGGAACTTTGATAACTGTGTGCAAAGATGTCGTGCTTGACCATCAATGATTGGGCTGGCAGATTTGAAGGGCGTTCGAAGTGAAACCACATGTACACGTTCTTCAAAATCAGATAGGTGTTGTGTGAGAAGATCGACCCTTTTTTTGATGGTGCTCATCAGTGCCAAGCTCAAAAAAAATCGCAAGGTGTTTGCCTGGTGAAATCAGTTTTGATCCGTTTTGAGCAATCCTTCCCTGTTGATTTTCCCTTCAACCAACCCATACCAGGCGCTCTGGGTGCTGGGTCCCCTGGCTCTGCAGGAGTTGTGGCCTTAGCGGAACCCGTGGCAGTGGAGTCTTGTGAGACTCGCAGCGCTCTGGGCTGGGCGAATCTGCCAAAAATTCTGTAGAGATCGTGTGTAACATGGGGAGCATGTCAGTATGGAAGGCCTGAAATTGTTTTACGTATAATCATATTATATTGTATGTATATATATATATATGTTATATGCATTAATGATATATTTATAATATATTGATAATATACTGATAATATGTTGATAATATAGTAATATATTATATACATATATCATATTATATATAAATACATTATTGTATTATAGATAGATTCTCTTATCTTATATTATTTTATATATTATGTTATATATATATATACATTGTATGCATATACGTTAGTTGTATATAAAGCAGTCGGGGTCATCACCTGGTCCAAAGCAGACGCCCTAAGTGAAGGTCGAAGGTGCCACAAAGGCCATACTTTCTGGGGAGATTCCCCTTACAATTCCTTACATCAATATATATATATATACCTAATAGATCAATAGATATATGACCTATATAATATGACCCAAAAGATCAATATATACCTCCAATTTTGGTACCCGCACTGTTGCTCTGAGGCTAGTGTTGCACAAGCTTCCTTGTGACTGTAGGGTCCCAGTAAGGGCGCAAAATCCGGCTTCACCAGAGTTTGGTATCCAAGATCTTGCTATGTGATATCTCCATGTTATATACGATGTTATATTGCCATGAGTTAAAACCCTCCAACACATCAAGCTAGCCGGGCAATGGATGCTCATCCCCCAATCAATATAACACTGTAGGTCTTGATCCATCCATAGTGACCATTTATCTGAATGGTTCACGCGAAAATGATCGATAAACATGTACATATATATGTATATATGACCCAGGACGCCCAAGCCCCCCCCCACCCATGGTCCCCCCCCCTGTGGCCTGTGGTGGTGGTATGTTGGTATGTTGGTATATTGGTATGTTGGTATGTATGTTGGTATGTATGTAGGTATGTATGTATGTATGTAGGTATGTATGTATGTGTGCATCCATGCATGCATGCATGCATGCATGTGTATGTATGTATGTACGTGTGTACGTAGGTACGTAGGTACGTAGGTACGTAGGTACGTAGGTACGTAAGTATGTAGGTATGTAGCTAGGTAGGTAGGTAGATAGGTGTGTATGTTTGTGTGTGTGTAATGTAATGTAATGTAATGTAATGTAATGTAATGTAATGTAATGTAATGTATGTATGTATGTCTGTGTGTGTGTGGGTGGGTGAGTGGATGAATGGATGCATGCATGCATGCATGCATGTATGTATGGATGCATGCATGCATGTATGTATGTATGTATATATGGTCCCGTGTTCCCGAGAGCGTGAGCTTGGGGGACCATACCATTGGTCGGGGGGCCAGGGATCCGGAGTCCGGACTCATATATATATACATATATATATATATACATATATATATATATACACTATATATATACACACACATAGGCATACGTATATGTAGAAACAGCAAGTTCTTCAGTGTATTTAATGACCCATGTGCATCTCTTATGTTCAAACACGTCGAAACAATATAAAGCAAACTCTCATTGATGTTTCCTGTAGAGTTTTCATTTAAACCATAGACTGAGCCAAGGACTACCTGGAGAATTGGGGCACCGCCTCCCACTTTTCGAAACAAAGTTCAATCACAGGTACACCTGTGGAGCCGGTAGCAATGGAGGTGACGGAAACATCGTGGCTTGGTTCAGCCATTTCTCAGTGAAGATGATATGGGTTCGGCTTGGTTTCAAAAAGGTAGCTTACTGGGACTTGTCCAGATATCCCAAATGTTCGGGTTTAACTTTTTTTTGGTGGGACAATGAGGACCAACCATTGTATTGTGAGGTTCAGATATCTAGCTACAGAAGATCATTTGCTGTAGAAAAGGCTAGTATCCTTATTTACCACTATTTGCCTTATTTGTATTTATATATATATATATTTATTTAATAGTTATAGATATGTATATATATATAATATACTCCTCCCAGGTGTGAATTTGTAAATACACTAATCATCCATCATGATATTGGAGAAACATTGTCTCTTTCAAGCAACAAACGAGGTGTTTGTGTTGATCAGTTGTTGATGTCTTTTTGCATCAAAACATGGCTTTTGTACCTACTGGATGATATAATATCCTACTGGTATGTATATAAATTGAGATCTTCTTTTTGAAGGCTTTCACCCACAAAATGTCAATAAGCAAGAATGATGCATGTGTGAAAGATACTGTATATTATGGATATGTAGACCTCTGCAAAGTCTTTAAATTAAAAAAATCGAAGGCCCGGGAACCACCAAAATGTCAAGAAATGTTGCTCTTAACATCTGTCCTTCCTCTCACACCTATCCGACCTTCAGCCATTGCCATGGCGGCGCCAAGACAGGGTGCCGCAATGAATTCAGGATCTGCAACCATCAAAAATCAGCATTTTCCCAATTGAAACGTTGGACATGTCCCATTCTATCAAAGTAAACATGAATCCCTATTGTTGCCTGTATATATTATGTAGTTTATTTATATAGTGTGTATATATATATATATATAATACAGTATTATATAGTTTTATTATATATATACAGCATTATACAGCATATTATATTACACATTATACATTTATATTATTATCACTATTTTCAGACACATCTACATACTAGATTTCCCGGTCTTCAGGCCTCAGAGGATGACTTCGACTGTCTCAGGTCTCCCTTTGGGCCATCGATTTCCTCTCACGCCGGCAACG